AAAAATATTTTTTATAATATATCTTTAAAAAAAAAAATTTATTGTTAATATTTGCGCTGACTAACAAACCCAGAGCGTTTTGCTGAAAATCAGCAAAACTGTGCTGCAACTATGCCGACGCAAGGACCTCTAGATACACTTTTCTTCTAGTTCAACTTAATGTCATTTAAATAAAACACTTTAACGGTTTAAAACGCGATATATTAGTTAAACTTATTTGAAAATGGTTTTTAACTTCAGCCCGACGATTCGGATGCTTTGCAGCAGCCGTGGTCACGGGGTAACTAATATATTTAAACTGTTAAAGTGTTTTATTTCAATACCTTAATCTCTTTATCTCTTTTTGTCTATTTTTTAATGATAACTATAATCGTTACAGCACTAGTTTTCAATCCCAAATGCAGTTATAATATTCTTGACTACGCAAATAACCGTGTTTTGTGAAAACACTTTTAACGGTTTGAAATCTGTAATCACGGCTGCTTTAAATTATATGAAACATCGTGTTGTAGTTAAAACTATTTGACTAATATATTTCGAGTTTTAAACTGCTAGAATCTTTTTATTAAATATTTTAAAATTCACTTTTAAAATTTCACCAATTCTCAGACCTGAATTTAATATTGACTATACGTATAAAATTTCATTGCAATCAATCGAGCCATTTCGTACTCAGAGTATGGTAACTTCTGACAAGAGAATTTTTGTATTAGGTAGCATTTTACGTATGCAACCCGCGTACTTAGGTAGAAAGAAACTTAAATAATAAATACGCTAAGAAATATTTGTAGGACTGTCTTATTAAGTAGAGGCGGGCAGACTATAATTCTAACCGAAGCCGAATGTAAGACATCGTATGCACTTACGTAGGTACCAATGTTCAACTTAACCTTCAACTTGAAGTTAAAATCTTAACTGACAGTTAAAATTCTTCAAAATTAGCGTTCTATTGACAGATAGATTGACATTTGAACCATTGACTCTAATATAAGTTTAAGAGTCAACTTCACGTTTTCTGGGATTAGTCGTTTCGTAATTTTAAAGAAACTAGCTTAAGAACATTATTATTTGTAGTTTACGCGAGTAGAACACAAACAATTTGTGGTATATATTATAAATAATAAAGCTGTAATAAATAAATAAACCACTTTTTGACGATTTAAATTTTGAATCTATTGTTAAATTTATATATTTCTTTGACCTACCGTCAGATCGTTCAGTTAAATATATAACAATGACACGGTGGCTCTATTAGTTAGATCATAAGCACGGAACGCTGTAAATTCAAAGAACGCCGGTTCAAAGTCCTGCCCGTATCGAGAATGTTTTATCGTTGTTCAGTCTAAAACCGATCGAATATTTTTATAATATAGTAATTTCACGTTTACCGTTAAATCTGTATTATTGTGTTTTTTATTCATTCATTCACTTGCCCTTATAATATAACCAGCTAATAATATTTCACTTTCGCTCCTTCGAATTCGGATACCATAAACCGAAGTTCGGTTATCCCGAGTTTCGTCTCATCCCTTTAACCTAAAAAAGGTGATTTCAAAGGTCAAACGTCCTACAAGGATAATACACAAGCTGCCTCTATTATTACGGTTTAACAGAATTCCTGAGCGGCCTACATTTCAAATTGGTTGACAGCAAACTCTCCGAGGGTAGTTAGAATATAACCAGTAGCGCACTATATTATTTAGCAATTCACTATAATATTCTCTTACAAGTCTCTCTCTTGGGATTGCGATTTCTATATAAACCATTTATGGTAAGCCCTGTTTAAGTACTGTCTGTTTTCGTTTCAATGGAAAACTTTTAACGGTTTAAAACGCGAAATATATTAACTTATTTATACATTAACTATACTTTTGCATCCGTAACGTCGGGCCGTAGTTATAATAAATTGTAAATGAGTTAATATTTTCTCGTTTTAAACTGTAAGCACTTTTAAACAAGCACAATGCTTAGTGATTAACGGTATAAAACGCAAAATAGATTAACTTATTTACAAATAAAACTATGCTTTTGTGTTGGAAACGTCGGGCCATAGTTATAATAAATTGTATGAGTTAATATTGAACTCTTTAAAAGATATTTTGAGTAAGCACAATTCGTATTGACACTATTAACGGTTTAAAACGCGAAATATATTAGCTTATTTACTAATTATTTAAAATATGCTTCTGCAACGATGGGGTGTGTAGATAAAATGAATTGTGAATAATTTAACAAATATATTTCGCGTCTCAAACCGTTAAAATTGTTTTATTTAACTTACTTACGAGTGCCTTACGAACGCGCTTCGATAGTTAAAATATTCTCACATTCTGCCGATGAGATGGGAGGATTTTTTTTAACGGATATAAACGAGAAACATATCATTGTCTTTCGGGCTGTTCGGCCGATATGAGCGAGAAGAGGTTCTCGACGTTTCGCCATCACGTGTGTACGGCGTCATCAGGAGATGTTAACTCCTCGATTGCTCGGAGAATTTAATGAAACGTCGAGAACCTCTTCTCGCTCACGTCGGCCGAACAGCTCGAAAGACAACGATATGCTGAACGAAGGGAGCCTTTAATAATTTATTAAACGAAAACTATTATTACCTTATTTACAGTTAACTCCGGCCCAACGTATTACATGGCGGGTTATGAGAGGACTTGTAAATAAGTTATATAATTCGCTGTTTAAACCGTTAAAAACGTTTTATTTAAACTCCTTACTCCAGAGTGCCTATCAACGCACTTCGGTAGCTCAAATTTACTCTCGTAATACGTTTCACATTGTGAAGATGGGAGAATGCCTTTTCAGCTTTTGTCATTTCAGTTCCTTATGCGATGTGAAAGGGGGGATTTTCAGCGTTCAGCGTATCTACCGGATTAAAGTGAAGGTCAAATTTGTATACACCCTGTATACAAGTTAGCTGTTTAGTTACCAAAAAAGGTACAATATTTCCAAAATGTCGTTAAGTATTGTCTGTAGTTTACGTAAGCATTACACTAAAATAAAACATTTCTAATGGTTAAAAATTCGACACATATTGGTTCAAACTATATTCCATATATTTTCTGTCTAACTAAGACCCGATGTTACGACGCTATATATATATAGCGTCTAAACCGTTAAAAGTGTTATATTTAAACTGATCTGTAAATGTAAAACATTTTATTATAAAGTGTAGGATTGTGACTGCTTAAAAAAATTACAGCATTTAGTTTAAATGTTACATAAGGTAAAACATCTTTAACCGTATTAAACACGAAATATATTAGTTAACTTGTTTAAAAAAAATATTTTATTTACCGCTTGACGTCGAAGCCTCCGAATGCTTCGCAGCATCGATCCCCCCATGACCGCGACCGCCGCGAAGGGCCATATACTACTCGTAAATGTGTACTACTCCCGTAAAATAACATACAATACTCAATAATAAATTAGTGTTACTGTTGTAAGTCAATTAGCCTTTCGTGCGCAATTCGACTCGGACTTGGCCGTTTTATTTTTCGTAACAAAGGTCGAAATTCAGTCACCCTTGCTGAAATATGGTTTCAGCCTTGATCGCACTTGTAACAAACGAAATTTATAACGTACGTACTTACGTGTTGGAGTGACATTAAAAGTGAGTTATTCTAGGACATTCGTTTAATATGCAAAGCAGCGAGATCTTGACGTTAAACATTTTAAAAATAAAAACACTTGAACGGTTTAAAACGCGATTTATATTAGTTAAAATAATTTCAACTACGGCCCGACGCTTCGGGTGCTTTGCAGCAGCCGTGATCACGGGAAAACGTCGGGAAAGTTAAAATGATTTTCAAATAAGTTTAAATAACATATTACGTATATAAACGTGTACTACTCGCGTAAACTAGAGACAGTATGTAATACATTTTAACTATATTTGACTTCGACAGACTGAAAGCCAAACGCGATTAAACACGTTGGTCTCGTTGGGAATCGAATCCCCGACCACTTCATTATTAGCAATAAATTCAGATATTAGACCAACGTGCGCGTAAAATCTTTGAGGGGTCTTTGAAGGTTATATTTTACGACATTGCGGTAATAAAAACAAATGAAGATTATAATTTAATTTTGTATGCAAAGCTAGCTTATTTCATATAACAAATTTGAAGTGAATTAGATTTGGCTAACTAGAACTAAAAAGTTTAACTTAACTAAAAGTCCATTACCTTAAAGCGTAAATTGATTTAAATAAAGGACTTTAACGGTTTAAAACGCGATATATTAGTTGAACTTATTTAAAAATATTTTTTAAATTTTAAATAAGTTTAACTAATATAACGCGTTTTAAACCGTTAAAGTGTTTTATTTAAATGTGTACTATTCGCGTAAACTGTAGACAGTAGGTAAATTGATTTTTATTACAATACGCCAGATGAAAAAGTAATCTAAATCTATTTTAAATGCGTTCCAAATTCAGTCTATTGACTTATCCAAATATCCGAATATCCTAAATAGGTCGATATATCTTGCGAATGTTATACGGCTGAGTAAATTTCACCTTCTATATCAAAAATCCGCCACTTTAGCCAAATGGTTAAACCTAAAACGCGCGAGAGGTCCTGGGTTTGAATCCCAGGGAAACAACAATTGTTTCGGTCGGTCAGGGCACAGAATTCTGACCTGACCTGTTAAAGAACGGGCACAAAAAAGTGTTCGCCCCATGCCCCACGAGGGAGGAACGGGCTTTCACACTTTTTTTTAAAACAAAAACCCCAATAATGACATTTACACTCCTGAAACAAACATCTCCATTGATATGGAAATGTCCGTTTGTTGACTGATTTAAACACAATTAATTCAGACGTGTACCCCATTGATATGCACATCCCCACGTCACGCTACCTACGGGATCTATCAGCCCACTTAATATCATTAGACAAGGAATATTCATGAGATTGTCACACATAAAAGCCGCGGTCTTGGAAGCAACAGCACATTGCCACCCCATCAGTCAATAACATCAAACCAATATGAAGCCATCGATCGTTCTATTCAGCGCGCTGGTTCTCCTCCTGGCTGAGGGTCTTAGTGGACAAGGGCAGGTATACTGCGGACGTCGATTGGCAGACACCCTGGCCTATATGTGTGATAATCCACTTATAAATGGAGCAGCTGGGAACAGTAAGTTGATTATAATTGTTGATAAAGTTTGAGAGACAACCATGGAGTACACTTGGAAGGTGTATCCCAGCTAAGACAGATGCGCCGTCGGCCTATTTTGGTTTTGGATAATCAGGAGACTAGATTGCAACGCGATTAAACTTTCACGGTTTTTGCATTTGCCTTTTGATAGTGAATAACTTAAATAAAACTTTAACGGTTTAAAACGCGAAATATATGAGTTAACTTAGATTTAAAATGTAATTATGGCTTTAAGACAGTACTAAACAAACTACAGACCGAAACGCGATTTAACTATTACTACTACTAATTATTCTTTGTTTTTCATAAAATACTTGACGGTTTAAAACGCGAAATATATTAGTTAATTTATTAATAATTTAATATCGGTACCTATCTATACAACATTACGGCTTCTTAATCGGGATGAGCATAGTGTCATTTGTTACTATTTAAAAAACGAAAACAATTAACAGTTTAAAACGCGAAATATATTAGTTAACTCATTTATAATTTAATTTTGGTCTCGGACAGATATCTACAAGCTGAAACACGATTGAGCTTCATGGCTTTTTCGTCTGGCTAGATAATTATTTTTTATTTGAAAATAAAACTAGCAGGTGACAACCGAAAAATATTCGTTGACTTATCTTAAAATTTAACTTCGGCCCGAAGTTTCGGATATCGTTTCTATCTCTTGTTATTTCTATAAAAGAAATAATGACTTACGACTTTTTACATGACGAAAAAATGGCTTTCCAAGATAGATTATTTTATCCTTAATAATAATAATAAATTAAGATTTATTCAGGAACTACTTGTACTAGCAACTACAAACGAATTCCAAAAACTTTATTGTTTGAGAAGAGGACTGACTACACGCGTGGGGTCTACTTGACTATAATGCGCCCGCCGTATAACATCTAAACAAAATGCGCTGTCGTCCTATTTTGTCCTTGCATATTCGGAATTCCAACAAACAGAAACAGAAACATATTTAAACCCCTTTTTTTTCCCCCTTCCAAAAAAAAATTTTTTTTTTTTTTTAAAAAAAAATTTTACAATTAAAAAAAAAAAATTTAAAAATTTTTTTTAAAAAGGGGGGGGGGGGGGGGGGGTTTTTCATCAGCCGTGGTCACGACGGAACAGATGGCGCTAGCGTAGCAATTTTTACTTTGACGTCAGAGACATCCTCCATCTTTAGTCTCCCCGTGACCACGCATGCTGCAAAGCATCCGAAAGGGGGGGCCATGTTAAACATCATTTTCAAATTAGTTTAACTAATATATCGCGTTTTAAACCGTTAAAATGTTTTATTAAAATGTGTACTACTCGCGTAAACTATAGACAGTATTTAAACTTGGCTAACGTTTAGTGTGTTACTTAGTAGCATAAAATAATTATAATTTTCAGGTCTGCTCATCAAACGATCAGACAGATACCAAAACGCCATCACACCCGAGGATTTCAAATGGCCCTGGATCCAGCGCCACCATGCCAAGAGTATCAGGAACAAACGACAAGTGGTCTCCGAATGTTGCGACAAGCCTTGCTCGCTGAACGAACTGCTGTCCTACTGTTGAAATTACACTATGCTGATAAAGTCAATTAGTAAAGAAATGTCTTAAGTCCAAAACACGATTTTGTAAATATCTAGTCATTTAAATAAAACACATTAACTGTTTAAAACTAAAAAAATATCAAATAAGTTTCACTAATATATATCGCGTTTTAAACCAATAAAGTTTTTTTTTTTTAAATGCGCACTACTCCCGTAAACTATAGACAGTATTTAATATCTAGTCATTTATATAATTATGATTTACTTCAATACTTATAAGTTATAGATAGATAAAAAATATAGATTTTTTATTTACCACCAAAATCGGTTTTAAATTGAAAAAAATGTATGACACTGGCGGGACTTGAGCCGGCATGTCACAGCGTTGAAATTTGAGCTACCGTGTCCTTAATCAATGTTTTTTTTTAAATCTGAAATCAATCTTTATTTATTATATAAAAACATATATACACAATATAAAAACATAATATTGTGTATTCACATATATTTATTTTTCAAACGATAACCTTTATAATTTCATCTCAAATTATTTTCTGAAGCTGCAAGGCCTAATACATTGAACATGTAATACGCAAGTGTTACATTGTGGATGCCGGTTCGAGTCCTGCCCGCGAAACATTTACAAATGTCTACGTACTCGGGTCTGCGAGATAAATGCCAAAAAATTAAATGTGCTTATCTATACAGTAGTTAAGCTAGCCTGCATTGTAATCAAATTCCGTACATTTGTTTCTGAGCTATGAACATACAACATTAAGAAATTCCCTATATACCAACATACAAACATGCATGCTGCATTCTACTCAGTGCTTGTGACGTTCGAAAACAATTCTGGAAAATCCCCCCGTGACCACGGCTGCTGCAAAGCATCCGAAACATAGGGCACGCGTTAAAACAAATTAAAAGTAAATACTGTCTATAGTTTACGCGAGTAGTACACAAATAAAACACGAAAACCGAGCAGCCAATAAAACACGAAGTCTAAATAAAGCAATTGACAAACAAACTTGGCTGTTACTTTGCTGCAACTACATCAATTTGCCGACGGCGTTTCGTTTTTTGCTGGAACGAGACTCGTCAACCTACATACCACCTTGGTGACAAGCACATGGCGACAAGATCGTGGATACCAGTTCTAATAATAAATACGACGAAAACATTACTGATAAACAGAAATTTTACCGGTTTGAAACACGAAATATTATTCATGTTAATTTATTTCAACTACGACCCGACGTTAGTATAATTCGCGTTTTAAAGTATTAAATTATGAACAATTAAGAATACAATTCAAAACTAACTTATAACGTTCTGAAACGCGAAATATATTCGTTAATTTATTTCGAGTTTAAAACCGTTTTATCATGTACAATTAAGAATTTAAATGTACGCATTTAACAGTTAAACGAGAAAGATATTACTTGGTCGATATTTTTATTTATATGTGTAGGCATTTGCGTAAACTAAAAACAACTGAATAATTTATTTCGCGTTTTAAACCGTTAAAAGTGTTTCATTTTTCTTGTTACATTAATGTCATGCTAACTTATTTGAAATTTATTTCAACTACGGCCCGAAGGTAATATAATTCGCGTTTTATACCATTTATTGTGTCAAATTTAAATAATAATAAAAAAAAACTTTATTACTTCGCTCCTGTTGGTCGCAACCAAATGTCTTATAGTTAAATAAAAAACATTTGATAAATGGTTTTATTACAACAAAATTTAAATTCGAACCAGTAGTTTCTGTGATAAGCGCGTTTAAACAAACAAACTCTATCGCCTTATAATTTTGATATAAAAATGCGCTGTCGCCCTTTGAATTACTGCCTGTAGTTGTTGCAGCATTCGTCAACTGTTCGGAAACTAAACAGGATTGCTTCTACAATTATTTCCGCACCGGAAATGGAACTCGCATTTGAGAGCGAAACGTATCCTAGGTATCGTGGGAACAATAAAACCCTTCGAACCGTCTAATATAGACTAAAATAAAACATTGATTGATAGGTACTAAAATCCAGGAGAAGGCCTTATTTAATCTAAATAAAAACACTTTTAACGGTGCAGGCAAGTAAATCTAAATAAAACACTTTAACGGTTTGAAACGCGATATATTAGTTTAACATCGGCCCGACGTTTCGGATGCTTTACAGCAGCCGTGGTCTCTGCGAGACCACGGCTGCTGCAAAGCATCCGAAACGTCGGGCCGAAGTTAAAAATCATTTTTAAATAAGTTTAACTAATATATCGCGTTTTAAACCGTTAAAGTGTTTTATTTAAATGTGTACTACTCGCGTAAACTATAGACAGTATTTAGGCAAGTAAATCGTCGCGAGGGTCGTAGTTAAAGAAAAAAGTTAAATAAAGAAAAGCGAAATATATTAGTAAACAGTATTGTCTGTAGTTTACGAGACTAATAGTACCCTTAAATAAAAACATAGAACAGTTATTATATATCGCGTTTTAAACCGTTTTATTTTATTCCTTAATAGTTCTAATTTAACGGGTCAAAGCGGGCCGACAGCGCAACGTGTTAAATTAAAAACCCGCAAGTAGAATCGAGTTTCAAAAATAAGTCGATAGAGCACGATGCGGCGATGTTTATTTAACTATAACCTTTACTCCATAAATGCTCTAACCAACACAAGATTTTTCAATGCGGACAAGTAGTTCTTGGGATTAGCGCGTTCAAACAAACAAACTCTTGAGTTTTATATATTAGTAGATTATATAGATAGATTAATGAGGTTCAGAAAAACTCGTTCGCGGATAGGCAACGTAATCTTATTTATTACATGTCAAAGAGACGGCGATAAAAATTTAGCGACCGTGTCCACTGACCGCATTGTAAAGCGCCATATTTGTAATGATTTATATCGCAGTGAGATTAAATTGTAATAGTACATTATGATATAAGTGCGCTAAGTTGAAAATTACAGCCCTCGCCGATGGCTCGGGCTATAAGAAAGCAGAGGCTGTAATTTTCAAAGCGCACGTATGTCATACGACGTTTTATAACATATTGACGAGGAAATTATGACATTTTCAAATAAAAACAATACAGCGAAAAGAAAAAGCGCGCGGAATTATTTTCACTTGTCCACAAATAAGCGATGCGCGCGCATCGACTTTTTTTTTAGGCAAAGGTACAAAAACAGCCAGTAATTCTAATAAAGTAAATTAATATTTTTGTGTTTTTGTTATCGATAAATGGTTGTAATTTATTGTCAAAATTAATTAAATTGAAGAATTAAATGTTTATTTGTTACATTTTATTTCCCAATGTTAATTTTATTCATAAAATATTGACCACTTTCTTCACATAAAACCTCTTTGCTAAGATTTTTAAAAGTATCGTTCATTTTTAGACGGAGTATCTTAAAACTTTATTTAAAAAAAAACACGTGCCTTTTACATTACATTATCGCACACGTACGTAATGAGATACATTACGATATTGAAATTGGTGTAATTACAACCACTTTGCGAGCAAATATGTCATAAATTATTTTAATAAAACCCGATATTATCAACGGCCACGTTGATCTTTGTAGCGATGTGTGGCTAATAATTTAGGCTTATCTGTCCTCTAACATAAAGATCTTTGCTTGTAATGGAATTAGTAAAGAATAATTGGAACATTTTCTGTAGAGTAGTACACATTTAAATAAAACACTTTAACGGCTTAAAACGCGATATATATTAGTTAATTTTTTTTTTAAATCATTTCTACTTCGGTCCGACATATCGGATGCTTTGCAGCCGTGGTCACGGGGAAACGTCGAATCGTAGTTATAATCATTTTCAGATAAGTTTAATTAATATATATCGCGTTTTAAACCGTTAAAGTTTTTCATTGAAATAATTTAAAAAATTTAATCTTAGAAAGCACTTAGCGTACTTACGTGACACAAAAGCGAACGACGAACTGGGTTCGCGTGCATTCATTATGATAAAAGTGACCAGTCCCTGAGGATGTGCCGTCGACTCATTAATAAAATTACATACAAGGGCAAAGCTTTTCATGTTTGCATATTTAATTAACCGACTTCAAAAAAGTGTGTTTTCAATTCGTATATTTGCTTTTTATCTTTCTTCCGATTTGAAGAATAAGTTTTGCTGGAAAGTAGTTATTACAAAGATGGTCACCAGGGTGAGATGATCACAGACCGGCAAAATCGAGGGGAACTTTAAAAAATAGTTTTTTAAAATACGACTAATTATTATTAAATACTATCGGTAGTTTACGTGAGTAGTGAACTTTTAAAACACTTCAACGATTTAAAACGCGATATATATTGGTAAACTCATTTGAAAATTATTTTAACTACGGCCCGACGTTTCATTTAGGAAATGTAAAATATATCTCGTTTTAATCCGTTGAAGTGTTTTATTTAAATGTAATTATTAAGTCAAACTTTAAGAAAATTAACATTGTATAAAAGTATTGTGTATCTAGTGTTACCCGTATTATAAATTACTAGTTGAGTCCGCGACTTCGTCTGCGTAGAATAGTTATTTTGGGTATCCAAAATTGTTTTTGCAAACTGTCCTAACCTACGCCATACGTCGCGACCCGTCGTTCTCGCGAGTTCATCATAAGAGATAGACATATACTATCGCAGATATTTTTTTATTATTTGAATAAGAATCATATACATACATATTGGTTTTGTATCTTGAACCGTTTATGCGGCGTAAGATAAATAATTTCCCCGTTTTTACCGCTATTTTCCGCTGTTTCTTCGCTTCTATTACTTACAATGAAGATTTATAGCCTAAAGCCTTCCTCGATATATTTTCTAACCAACAAAAAAAAATATTTTTTTTTTAATTCGAAGCAGTAGTTTCTGAGATTAACAAGTTCAAACAAACAAACTCTTCAGCTTTGTGTAATCGTATAGATTATTGAAAATCTTTATCTCCAAGGCCTGTAAGAAATCTATTTTTAGCGATAAGGCCGGCGTTCCTCGCTACATTGTTTTCTTTTAAACTCTTCAAATTGAATCTTGTATTTATATTCTTGTGGTGACAATAAAGTATTTTTTGTTTGTTTTTGTGCGATTAGACTCCGTGTATCAATTTGACAACTCTATAATACGGATAGTTCATCCGAAATGTTTTTTATAGCAAACACGGATTCAAGGCCGAAGAACGATCAATTCACAGATAAATATTCTCCCTCCACAAAAATATGTAATACAAACGATGAGAATCAAGAAGAGGTCGGAAGCTACGAACAAGCTCAGCTAATTAGGGCGGCCTGCTGCCTTAATTGTCGTTTGGTCCAAGTTATAAGATTCAGCGTGCACCTAAAAAAATCACAAATTTGTTTACATTATTTAGGGACTAAGAAAAATTTATCAACAAATAAATATATTTATGTATATATTTATTTGTTATTTCACATTAAACACCGAGGAACAATTTAGAAAAGCTACATGAGATATTACACGCTGGATTCAACTGGCGAACGACCGGTCGTACTGGAAGTCTATGGGGGAGGCCTATGTCCAGCAGTGGACGCTGAACGGCTGAATCGAATCGAAAAACATGAGATATTAAAACGATATATGACAGCGACATATATTTGTGAGGTACCTTTTAAGGTCAATATCACATATCACAACTGGGATTTGAGTTTCGCTTGTGTTATCAATTTTAATACGAAAGTAATTTATCAATTCAGAAAATCACATTGTTAGTTGTTTGAATTTTAAACGTAGGTCGTTTGACAAACGTTAACATATGATCTATGACTCTTAAACAACACAGATTGCAGTCTGGTAGTGCAGATTTGATATAGTGATAATTGTTCATTAATTACTTTTCACTATCTTACTACGTTTTATTTACGTGATAAATGTATTATTGACAAATAAACATGACAATTATTACTACTCGTATAACCAATCTTTGCTTAAGCACTATGGTCCTCTTATCTTCAACATTTTTCACCCATTACTGTATGTGTGTGTGTGTGTGTGTATATATTTTTCATACGCAAAGCCGATACAAAAGTTTTCACCTCGAAAATAAATAAGACATAATATGTACTCGCTCCGAGACCGCGCCTGCTGCAAATCTTTTGAAACGTCGGTCCGTAGTTAAACTACAATAAATTTAAGTCATTTTGCATTTTAAACAGTTTAAAGTGTTTTATTTAAATGTGTACTACTCACGTAAATACAGACAATACATACTGGTACTGTAAAAAATAAACGCTAAAGCCTATCACTTACACCACACAGCGAAATCGTCTGATTAGTGAAGTCTGCTGCTTACGAAGCGCTTCCAGATTGTAGAGCTTACCTGAAATGAGAACATTTATGTTACATTCAATGTTAATACAATAATAACATTTTATTAAAATCATACTGAACTTTTAGACTGAGTTCATAACATGAGTCATGTTTATCTATTTTTTACCAACATAATTAAACTTACAACATATATTTCTAATAATAATTTTTACTACTTATGTATCGAACTTTAAATCAGTTTAACGAATATATATAATATATAAATGTGTACTACTCGCGTAAACTATAGACAGTATTTAGATATAATGTATTAGCCGGGCAGATTAAAGTTATTCTGGGCATCAAAATTTAATTTTTCAAACCTCATCTTTTAAATAAAACATTTTAACGGTTTAAAACGCAATATATTAGTTAAACTTATTTGAAAATGATTTTTAACTTCGGCCCGACGTATCGGATGCTTTGCAGCAGCCATGGTCACGGGGAGACCAGAAGTTAAAAATAATTTTTAAATAATTTTAACTAATATATCGCGTTTTAAACCGTTAAAGTGTTTTATTTAAATGTGTACTACTCGCGTAAACTATAGACAATATTTAAACCTCATCTTTGCTGTTACCCACGTTTTACGCGTCGCATCATTCTTGCATCTTAATTGATAGACGTGTACTGTCGACATTTTTTTAGATCATTTAAACAGGAATAATTCTTTCATACATATTTTCACCGTATCTTGAATCGCTTTCGCAGCGTACGCGTCGGAAACCCACAGAGTTGAATAATTTTCCCCCTTTTTTTACAATTCCTGCTGTGTAGTAACAGCGCGATCTTTTATAGCGTTCGTCGACTGTCTAATGAACCCAAAAACATAATTTTTATTCGAACCAGTAGTCCCTAAGATAAGCGCATTTAAACAAACAAGTAAATAAATTTTACATCTTGGTAAAGGTAAACATAAAAATAAATATTATCAGTAAACATTAAAACTAAAGATAAAGGTAGGTTACAAGTTACAAATAAAAAAAAAATATAAATATTTGAATTTTTTCACATTTGTAACTTTTAAAACGTCGTAAGTTCAATTTCCAAGTTGGTGATACGTACTGAGGTTTAAGACCAACCCCCCCAACTTCACGAATTTTTAGTACCTACAAAGAATCTTAAAATTTCTGAATATTATCCTAATATAATGATTTTTATCAAACCCCCCTCCCTCCTTGCCTCACGTGATTAATGGACAACCCCTTTATTAGTCGACATGTAGAGTCTACATTTATTCTAGCTCACAAAACATTTTCATAAATATATCGACTTGCGAAGACTAGAATATAATAAACTAAACCACCTTTAAGGCAACCTTCTTATTCTATATCTATATAACTTCACGGCTTTTTCACCAGTAGGCCCGGACGTTGTGATATTCCTACCACCCATTCCATATCCAGAACTTTCCATCGAAATCGGTTCAGCCGTACTTGACTTTAAATCGTTTAACTAACACGACTTGTATAAACATATATTAGCGTTGAAATTGCGACGCACCTAAATATATAACTGATGAAGCAATATATCTCCACTAATGTAAATGTCAGACACAAGTTGTCGGGCCATTTATTAGATTTTCAATGAGGCATAAATATCGGTTACATATGAATAAATACATAAGCCTGATTACATTTATGTATTCGTCCATTAAGTAGGGTTCGCACAGGAATCGAACACCATATATGTGTGAATAAAGTTGTATATTTTATCTACTTGGTCTAATGGTAGCAATGCATGGCTAGTAATGAGGGGTCGTTGGTTCTATGACCACCGGGCCCAACGTGTTTTTAATCAATTAAGAATGGAAGTATATAAATAAAACACTTTTAACGGTTCAAAACGCGATATATATTAGTTAAACTTATTTGAAAATTATTGATAACTTCGGGAAGTTTTAAAAAAAATAATGTTTTAAGTAAATTTAACTAAAATATAGCGTTTGAAACCGTTAAAGTGTTTTATTTTAATATCATGACGTAAATCAATATTGAAATAACACGTCTTGGAATCTTAACTTCGACGACATAATATAGCACTGCCAACGTGTTAGGTTTTTATAAACCGCGGGTAGTGGAAATAAGAACCGATAAAATGATTTATATAAAACACTTTAACGGTTTAAAACGCGATATATATTAGATAAACTTTATTGGAATTATTTTAACTACGACTCGGCGTTTCGGATGCTTTGCAGCAGCCGCCCACAGGGAAACGTCGGTTCATGAAAAAATTTTTTAAATAAGTTTAATTAATATATTTCGCGTTTTAAATCGTTAAAGTGCGAAGTATTCGCGTAAACTACAGACATTATTTTATGAAATTATGTTTTCGTGACCTCTACGTTGAGCGTTCAACGTGATTAATTCATTAACTTAAGTAAACATTAAAATATATTCGGCTCTTGTGTGATCCAGAAACTAATGGGAAACTAATACATTTAAAATGCAACTTCAGTAGCTATTTGCCGAGAGTCTAGATTAGCTACGAGTCGCGGGTTCGATTCCCAGGGTACGGGTCCACTTTTCTTATTGATGATTCATCTGGAATCCCGGTCATTCACCGTCGAAAGATGAAAAGGCCGTAATGTTTAATCGCGTTTCGGTTTCAGGTTTTGGATTCGAATATCTAAAGCCGACATAGGTCGAGAGCACATATGTTTACCTACCATCAATAGAACCCCATGTTTCTCTGTCGTCCTCAGACAAAACAAAAAAAAGATTTTGTTTTCGCCGGAGGCAATAACGTGCAATAAATATTTTCTCTATAACGAAGATAAAACTTTAATAAAACTCATTTAACGGTTTAAAATGCGAAATCCCTCTTTCTTCTTATAAATCAATAAATAATTTACATTTTTTTTAATTGGTTTTAAAACATAGTTTATATACATTATATAATTAGATACTATCAGTTCACGCGAGTGGTACATTTAAAACACATAACGGTTTAAAACACGAAATAAATTAGGTAACCTATTTATAATCCGAATATCAACTACGAACAGAACACCAGTGTAGCAGTTTTGACTGTAGATCCACCCTCCGTTTTCAGTCCCCCCGTGACCACGGCTGCTGCATCCGAAACGTAAAACTTAGCAGTACGCCAGCAGTTCGTCCGTCGAGCAAGCCTTATAGCAGCACTCTTCGACGATCTCCCGTTTGCTCCTCGCCGATCTCGCCGTACGTTGGGGTATCCAGATGTCATATTCAGTCATCGCCGTCCTCTTTGTCATAGCATTTTGACATTCAAAAGCAACAGTGTTAGCCAAGTACCGTCCGCAATATCTCCTATCGCTGTATGACCCTTGAAGGACCAGGGAGAGGATAGAGAGACAGAGAACTGTTTGTGACTTCATTGCGAGAAGTTGTGTGATTGGGGAGGGAAATTCGGTGCTTATATAGTGGTTCAAGGGTAGATATGCATGGAAGCATTCATATCAAAAATAAACCAACGCAAACTATACCGTTTATTTGTAGTAGCTAGGAAACTTATTATCTACAAAAATCGTTACATAATGCGCTATCGATCTACCTTGACTTTGGATATATTCTAGTATCACCTAAAATGTGTCTGTCTATAGTTTACACGAGTAGTGCACATTTAAATAAAACACTTTAACGGTTTGAAACGCGATATATTAGTTAAACTTCTCCCCGTGACCACGTGAAACGTGGGGCCGAAGTTAAAAATAATTTTCAAATAGGTTTAACTAATATATCGCGTTTTAAACCGTTTAAGTGTTTTATTTAAAATATGTCTACAAACAATACTTTTGCTTAGTCAAACTAGTTATGTATTAGGGACCTATATGGACTTAAGCGATAATTATTTAAATATAATGTTTCTATGGATAACAATTAAATTAAAAATTTTAAATTAAAAAATTCGATGATAGGGGCAGGATTCGATACCATGGCCACGGCTCTCTACTAACTTAGTTTTTTTTAACACTATTAATGTTTTAAAACTCATTAACATCTAAACGTTTAATGTGATCTTTGAAGTCGGACTGTGGTTAATATTAATTAAATAACACTTGACGTGTTTGTGTTAATTTTTTTTTATTGATATGAATATATCAATAAAAATATTGTATAATGTTTTACATATATCATACATAACAATACCTAAATACAAAAAAAGCATAGAGAACTATTTTGCAACAAATAAAACAATGATTAAAAAAAAACAATTTTAGACCCACAGTGTCTGAAATTGTATACGAACTATTTATTATTTTGAAAAAAAAAAAAAACCACTTTATTACAGATAACAAAACAAAAAAAAAACAACATAACATAGTAGATCTCATGGCATTCGAATCCAGGACCTCCCATGCTTAACGCAATAGCAGGTAGCACGTTCCAAGTAAGGCAAATATGTATGAACGAACCGCTTCCATACATATCTCCGTTCCCCTTTTGAGACGTCATAATATGTCCTGTGATATTATTTGACTGACTGCGTCTTGACTGTGTAGGTGAATGACGTCACATGCTTGTTTGCATAAGTGTAGGTCGAGGTACACGAATGACAGTCTGATTTGTGTCCCTGGTTTAAACTGTCGTGTGAAGAGAATTAATATTTATAAATAAAATTAGACTTTAGTTTAAAGTATTTGATAATATGCAAGTTGCACAACGGTAAGTCATATTATAATCTAGCAAAAAAAAATCGTTGGTCTGTAAAATAAGCATGTAAAGATAACGTTAAAGTAAGTAAATACTGTCTGTAGTTCACGCGAGTAGTACACATTTAAATAAAACACTTTAACGGTTTAAAACGCGATATGTTTTAGTTAAACTTGTTTGAAAATTATTTTAAACTGTTTCGGACGCTTTGCAGCAGCCGTGGTCACGTGGCGAGACCAGAAGTTAAAAATCATTTTTAATAAGTTTAAAACGCGATATATATTATTAGTCCCGGCAGGAACGTCGGTCCGTAGTTAATATTCTCAAACAAGTTTAACTAAAATATATCTCGTTTTAAAACGTTAAAATTGTTTTATTGAATTGTAGGTAACTGCGATATACTACAGAGTACTACTACGAGGGTAGTAGATTCGCGTCCCGCTAAGTAAAAAAGAATCTAATAAATATTCAAATCGCCAAGCGTGTTCCAAGTTTAAAGTGAATAGACAAGCTATTGAGTCCGAGTGTTGGAACTCCGAGCTATGCCGTGAATGGGACGAGCTAATAGATGGAACGAGACCAATTTGAATGTGAATGCGGGCGACCCGACAGCGTTGAATACCTCGTACCCTTGTAAGACAGGAATTGCTTTCAAAAATTCAAATAAGGAACATTCGTCATTTGTTCTACTATGTAGATAAGATAAAACGGTCAAGTGCGAGTCGGGCTCTCGCACGGGGAGTTCCTTTCTATTGACAATTGACATTTTGTAGCCTTATTTAGTTATTTCAAGCGATAGCGATATAGCAAAAAAAGTTGTCATCAACTCGACTCTTTGTTTTTTTAGGCTCTTTTGTGTAATGGTAGCAACAGGACCTGGGTTCGGTCACCAACGGGGGCAACATGTTTTTAATCTATTACTAATATATAAAGCTGGTGAGTTTGTTGCGCTAATGTCGGGAACTACTGATGAGAATTCAATAATTATTTTTGCGATAGAGCATTTATCGAGAAGGCCATAAAACATCGCACTGCGACTAATAGGAGCGTGGAAACAGCGGAAAATGTGGAAACTAACGGGGAAAACTATTCATCTTTGTGTAAATCAATAAACATGAAGAGGAGGTTTGCAAAAATCAAATTTAGACGCACAAAATAACAATTCTACGCGGACCAAGTCGTTGACACAGCTAGTCAATTAATAAAATACTGTCTATAGTTTACGCGAGTAGTACACATTTAAATAAAACACTTTAACGGTTTAAAACGCGATATATTAGTTAAACTTATTTGAAAATGATTTTTAACTTCGGCCCGACGTTTCGGATGCTTTGCAGCAGCCGTGGTCACGGGGAGAAGTTAAAAATCATTTCCAAATAAGTTTAACTAATAAATCGCGTTTTAAACCGTTAAAGTGTTTTATTTAGTCAATTAATAATTTCACAATAACCTGTTAGACCAAGTCTGGAAATCTGCTTATTAAATATGTGGTATAAATATCGAAATAGCGTGCCGGCCACAAACCACCATCCACAGTTCAGAAAACTATCAAGTTTAATCGCATTTCGGTTACAGTCTGTAAATTTGCAAAAATATCAAAATCAATATAGGTCGATAGCGCATATGGCTGTCCGTATCAAACAGAATTAAACGATTTAATTCGCAGTGACATAACTTTTCCACGACACTCCACCTGTATCATAAATTATCAATTTTACACCTTATTTTAATAGTGTTAGGGTCGCGTTTCCAACGCACACGAATGTCCTTAGCTAATTCACGCTTCTCTTTTAAATCTTACATCGATCCCCGGATCCCCAACTCGGGAATTTCGTGAGACCGTAATTCACAGCAAACTTTGAAGAACACTCGCTATTCGGGTCTGGATAAACTTTGAAATTGAAAACTTGTATGGCCACATACGAGTCGTCTTAATTTTTAATTAGAGGTTACGTAACGTTGTAACGTGAAGTTTAGGTTTCATTTTAAAGGTCTAAACCAAGTTTGTTTGAATAATTCTATATCTACACATAAATACTGTCTGTTTACGCTAGTAGTACACATTTAAATAAAACACTTTAATAGTTTAAAACGCGATATATTTTAGTTAAAAATTATTTTTAACTACGACCCGACGTTTCGATTGTTTTGCAACAGCCGTGGTCACGGGGAGACGCGATGTTTTTTTTAAAGTTTAGAATCGATTTTTAATTTAGTTGAGGTAGGTAAAAACTTCATCAATTTCCTTTTTTACGCATGCATGGGAACCCCACCTGATGGAAGGTAAAATATCCATGTCATATAACATATACAGAGGGCGCTGTCTATTTTGGCTATAGATATTCGAAGGCTATCAGACTCAAGCCGAACAGTGATAACCGTCCTAAAGACAAAAATGTGTCAGAAAAATTATAAATTTATTAACACGTTGTACCGGATGGGGATCAAAGTTGCTCATCCTACTTAATAATATAAACGTGAATGTTTGTATGTGTGGATGGATGTTTGTTACTCTTTCACGCAAAAACTACTGAATAGATTTCAAATAAACTCTCCAATAATATAGCTTACACATCAGAAAAACACATAGGCGACAATTTATAAAGATACTGTGTTGTGAGCTGTCCAAAATATGACATTAAGTGTCAAGTAACTAGGAAAATCCTACCTTTCTGCGAGCTATTCCGACGTGCGCTGCCATAAACGTTAGTTACACATAATTATGTAATGTCTGATATGACAGACATCATTCAGTTTAAATGCGCGATACTACGTAATGCTAATCCTGCGTAGACCAAGTCGCGGGCACCAGCTAGTACAATATATATGCACATTTTGTGATAAGGAAATAATACATAACTACAGCGGCCGGCAAGAGAGGCATTGATGGAGGTATGTGTAAGTCCATCAACGCCTAGTTTCGGCCAAGGCTTTTACAGTACTCGTCTCAAATAATGCGCGGAAATTAAAACTAAGTAGTACAATTCAGGACTTTAAAACCAAAGACGAAGTTGACGAACAACTAATAACTATCGACTTTACGCGCCATTTTTTTTACTAAAGAACTATTGTGTGTTTGCCAGTTGGAAATTTGAATTAAACCTTCGATAAGTTACCTTTTTGGTCGCCATGTTGCGGAGTAGATCGTTCTGTTTTCAAATTTATTTGGCCTAAACACGACAGTAATGGATTTTCAAACATCTATTGCCGAACTATCTCAAAGAAGATTGTCACAAAGGTCAAATTTAAAATCATGTTTAATAAAAATATATTTACATAGCTGTGTCGGCGTCTTCGTCTGTGTAAAATAGTTATTTTGGACGTAATAAAATGGTTTTAGCAAACCCCACATAAGTCCGTCACATTTTTATAAATTACTAGCTGAGCCAGTGACTTCGTCCGCCTAATAGTTAGTTTAGTTAGTTATCTTGGGCATTCAAATTTGGTTTTACAAACCTTCTCTTCAACTTTATAAATTTACGCGATATCGACCCATCGATAGCGTCCCGTCGGTCTTGCAAGTTAAACTTATAAGACATAATATAGCGTCGCAGACTTTTCTTAGATCATTTAAAGAGGAATCATTCTTTCATACACATTATTTAGGTATCTTGAACCATTTTCGCAGCGTACGCATCCGAAACCCACGGGCATGAAAAATTTCCCCCGTTTTGATCACATTTCCCGCTATATCTTCGCTTATATTAGTCAAACGGCAATGATT